AAAAAAAAAAAAAAAAAAAAAAAAAAAGACTGAACTCTCCTTCCTGAGATCTCTAAACTTTTATATGATTAGCAGCAGGTGGGTAAAATAAACTTCCAGGCCCAGGGGCATCTACTGAAAGAAAAATCCATTCCATTATGGTTGTTTCTGCAGGCTTCTAAGGAACTGACAACTAGTACACTACCTTGGTACAGAATGTTGTGACTTTGATTATTAAATGTTCTTGCCATTCCTTCTTCAATCATTACTGTTTAGACTCAGTCAATTGGGATTAATAAGACATGGCAAAACTATGTTTTACATGAGAGGACTTAATAATGGAAATAATAAGATGAGAGGCACAGAACTACGCAGAACCACTGCATTACTGGGTGAAGCTGGTTCCTACCTGGGTGCAGGCTGTTTCTGTGACCGCTGTGATGTACAAGGGACTGAACCGATGAGTATGTGGATGGAGGACACTGACATGAGCTGTACTCACTGTGGTAAGTGGGGGTTACAGGAAAGCAAGAAATCTAGGATGATCTGTCTAGTGATGATTGGAGCCATTGGTCTGAACTCACTCCTGCCTTACTCTGGGCACAGGTGGTGGCACAGGTCAGACCCAGAAGTCCCCAAAGGCCCATGTGTTAAAGGCTTGCCACAACCGCCACATGGTGCTGTTCAGAGGTGGGGCCCAGGAGCAGGTTCTAAGCCACTGAGAGTGGCCCTCTAGGGAACTGTGCCATGTTGGTCTTTCTGTCTCTGCTTCCCAGCTGCCATGAGGTGATCAGTTCCACCATGTCATGGGCCCAAAGGCAATGGCGTCAAGTGACCAGGGAAAAAAACTGCAAAACTGTGAGATCAAAGGGAAATGTCTTCTTAAATTGTCTTCACTATTATGTTACAGGTACAGATGGCTAACCAATACAGATGGCTACATGTACAAATATTTATAGAGGTACGAATATAGTGCTTCACACACACACACACACACACACACACACACACACACACAATTTCCTTGCTCTGTCAGTCAAGAAAGCCTTGAAGCAGTGATATCCCAGCAGCAATGAGCACCTCAAGAAGCCAGATCAAGATCTTAATATTATTCTCCAATACGACCAAACCAATACTCTTGGGTAAGTAGCTGATCACTGATCTTGGGCAACAAATACACAGAATGAACCTGTTGTCCCTCCCAATGTCAGAATCTTAGGGTATGTTCCAAAGAGCTTGAATGGCCAACGATGAAGCAATTTGAGGGTGGAAAAAGAAAGCATTAGGATTAAGTTTTCCATGAGTCCATACACAGACTGCTGGAAAGATTTATCAGTGGTGGAGAATGGACAAATCTCCTGGGTGGCCACATAGACAAGCCTGGGGTTCAAAGTAGTCAAAGCTGATGACCTAAATCTTTTCCAAGTGATTTAACTGAAGGCTTCAGCCTCCAAATGATGTGACATTAAGACACCAGCTTGGAAGCTAGGCAAGGCTCAGGGGCCACTGCTTTCCTGGTGTGCAAAAGGGCCGGGTGCAGCCACTGGCACCAGAGGGAAAGATACCTTTTTGGAAAAGGTTTTCTGTGTGGCCCCAACACAAGCAGGTGAGCCTGTTTTGTCCCATTCTGTCAGGAAGGCTCACTACATAGAAGTTTTGGGAACTGCTCTCCTCCTCCCAGGCATACTGGTCACCCACCCATCCCACCACAGTCAAAATGCCATCCACCCTATATGGCCCAATACCAGACCACCCCAACCCCCTAGTCACCCAGGTGGAGAGGCGAACAACAAGAACACTTTCCCACACACTGCACGTGAATGAAAGCAGACTGAGCCACCAGATGTCTTCCCATCTCACCTTTCTAAGAATGACAGACCAAGATCATTTTATTCAGCTTTATTTAAATAAGGATAAAGCTACTTAAAAGACTTTTTACATACAAAAATGTACATTACTAGGTCAAACTTTTCTGTACTGAATTACAAAACTTGCACAAGCATTAATAAAAGAGCACATTTAAAAACATTTGACCATCTGGTAGCCTCTGAAAATCACTGAAGCCCCACTGTAGTAAACAGAGAAAGCTCTTACATACATATGTGACTTGATCTACTGGCAGTTTACTTAATGTAAGTTTTAAAAGTCATTGCTATTGAATGAGTCTCTACATCAGTTTTAGAATCATCTCTCAAATCTCAAGTCAACCAAAATATAATTTCAAATAATAAGTCCAATTCTGAAGATTTTAATACTTGCAGATGTATCACAGGCTGACAGTTGTAGTGGGGCAACTTCCTAAAGCGCCCAGTGGCTGTCCATTCCAGACAGCTCGCAGCTGTGACAGCCATCAGCAGGGTCTCAAGACACAGGGATCGAGGGAGTGCCAGAACCCACAGGTACAAGGCCTAGGTCAGCCAGCTTAGCCTCTTAGTGAATGCCAAGTAATATGCCTTGCAAACCGAGGCCTAAACCGAGGATCTACAGAGAGGGAAGGAGGGCGGGTGGAAAGAAGGAAATCTTATGGGGAGGAGGGACAGGGAGAAGAACAAGCAGCACAGGAAGAAAGCAAGGCTCAATGCACCTCACGGCCACCTAAGGACCCAAATACCAGATGCCTGCCAACCTGGCAGGGAAAGCTGAGTCAATGGAACAGAGTCAAGAGTACTCCAGTCACATTTTTCTCAACTTTGCAGTAAACGTCATTTCCAGACCTAGGTCTCAAAGCCCCTGTACCGAGTCCCTGGAGGAGGCTGTCTTAGGCACCTTGGAGTGGGGGGCACACGAGGCAGACGGCTCGATGCTCTGCCTGCCAAGCTCCAGACAGACCAGTAAGATGCTGCGCTATGAGCACTGATTCTGAGGATTTGTAATATAAACTTCAATTTGAAGTAACAGTGTTACACAGTTCAGCTGTTATTACCAACCTACTCTGTAAGTTAAATATACAAATTAAAAATTAATTTCACCAAGTAACTAAAACTAAGTTTCCACTGACTTAAAATCGTCAAATGGCTAACTCTCTCTTAACTAAGAGAGAAATACAGGTGGAAGCAGAGGGGCCAACTGAATAGAAAATAGAATTTGTCATTCTACTCTAAAATCTGTACTTTCTAAGTTTTCCCAATATCACATATCTAGAAGATGAGAATGCCATCAATAATGTCACACAAATCAGCCTTGCAAGTAATAATGTGTTTAAAAATTTACCATGACATCAAAAGTCAGTACTGTCTTATACCTACACATTTAGTCCAAAATAAAGGCAGAATGATCAAAATTATGGTCTTAGTACAGTACTTACCTGCAAGGCTGAATTTTTTGTAAGGCTAATACATAGCTGAACAAAAAACGGTTATTTTAACAAATCAAGAGGATAAGTCCTCCAAAACATGATGAAAAAGGTAAACCCCAGTTCAAGTTCAATCGTACATGAAGAAACGTGTAAAGGAGTGGTGGTGAACCTATGGCACGAGTGCCGCAGTGGGCTGTCATCGCTGAAAGCTCTAAAAGGTTCACCATCACTGGTATAAAGCATCCCTTGTTCTCGGCTAGAAATACACAACAGAAGAGCAGTCGCCAGGACCCGTGACTGAAACATAAACCCTATCTTGTCACCAACTTCCATTATGTAGTGATAATACCACTCACACAAAAATAAGATCCTCAGCAGATGGTTCCACAGGATCTTCCCGGCCCAGGTTGCGCTCCACCCACCTACTCCAAGGGCAGGGTTCCCTCTTTACTCTTCCTCCTGGCCTCTCCTACCTTCCCAAGTCCTACCTGCTCCCCGCTCCCCTTCCTCTTCACTTCAAACAGGCTTCCTGGCCTGAACTGAGTGACTGCCCACAGTGCCTGTGAACAGCAAGCAGGGTGCCGGCACAGACCAGCACGTCCCAGGGGCTGGGGCTCCTATCCCTCTCCCTGTTAGGGTCAAGGGAAGAAACGGCAGCAAGCATGGGCTTCCCTCTGCTCTCTACTGGAAGGGGCACTGAGGGAAATGGGAGGATAGTGCTGTTCTCTCTTTATGGGGAATCTTTTCAGCAGGGCAACCAACACTCCTTGGTGAGCCCTGGAGGACTGGTGTGCAAAGATTTGCTAAAATACTGACATGAGCTTGTTATGTGGTTCTGTTTGAAAGAAGAAATAAAAATGGTGAACTAGGAAAACACCAGAGTTAAAAAAACAAAAAACAAACTCTTAACTGTCCCCAAAGACTATGAATAATTCCTAAGAGTCATTAGATGCTTTACGCCAGACTTACAGCTCATGATTTGACTGGGACCAATATAAATGTCATATATGGAGCTATTCTTTTAAAAACAATTTTTTTCCCATTCAAGGGAAGAAATTTAAAAAGGAAGGAAGGAAAGAAAGGAGAGGAGGAATGACACTGTTTTTAACCATTTTAAAATTCTTCAGAAAATCCAACAATAATCAGCATCTCTGTACTGTCAGTATACAAGAACTTATCTGAAATCTAGTTACAGTGGTATTTACATTTCTGGAAACCTTCCCTCAGGGCCATGTAACATGCTGTATCTTCCTCTTCGCTTCCGGTGGCTTCAGGTTATTCTAAAAGACATGAACAGAAACCAGTTTACACCTGCAGAGAGGCCCAGGCCCAGCCAAAATGAGCATTTATGCCATGGAAGCTCACAGCACCGATAGTGGACACTGCTGCCACCTGGTGGGTTGTGTTTCAGGTAATGATAAGGAATGGCCTGCCCTGGCTTGCAGTTCTCAAATGCTTTCCTGTTAGAATAACAAGAGCCCCTCCCAGCTGGGCCTGATCCAGACCAAGAAGCATGGAGGCCAGAGGAGGAAGAGGCTCCAGCTTCTTCCTGTTCCGGATTTCTGGCTCCCCTGGTAGTTATTAGGCAGGGTTGAAAACCCCAGACTTTTCCAGCCCTGCTTCCTCCCCTCCTGGGCCATCTCTTCCCCAATGCGGCATGTGGCATAGAAGCATATGAGTGAGTCCAACTCCTGGAGAGGAGAAAGGATCTTTAGGAGCCTGGGGGAGAAACAAAGCATCTCCTGGAGGCTCTCTTCTTACTGCAGTATTTGCATTTGCAATGTGTCTTTTTCTTCCAACTCTCACCCCATGGCCTCCTCTCTGCCACCAAAACATGGCTGAGTTAAGTCTAGAAGCAGCTTGGTGTCCTAAGTGTTTGCCTGGGACCAGACAGGGGGCACTCACTAACTGCAGCCCCAGAAAAGCTCGTTACATTCTTGATCTTCTGTTTCCTGGTCTCTGATGGGAATAACAACAGTGCCACTGCCCAGGATTGTTGAAAGGATTCAAAGAACATGAGGAATCTAAATGCAAAGGCTACTCAGGCATCTTCCTTCTTCCAGGGTCTCTATTTCACAACATCTATACTACCCCGGCATAAACTAGAAGATGATAGTCAAAGGATACTACACGAATAACAGCTACAAAACAGTGAAGTGTTTAAAAGTACATTAACTTTCCTAAGGAGCCTAAGGGTAAAAAATACAGGGCTGGGGATTTAGCTCTGTGGTTCTGCCACCTGCTTTGCAAGCACCAGGACTTGAGTTTGATCCCCAGTATCAAAAAACAAAAAAACAAACAAAGAAACAAACCCAAACATTTTATATACTTGGGAGTACAGAATCACCTCACAAATTAAATTCAAAATAAATCATGTATCCAAACTAAATAATGTGCCAGCAGATGAAATCCAAGCATCCAAATGTTAAACAAATGAACAATGAGATAAACAGTCAGACAGACTGGTGAAGTGCTGCATGCTTGGTGATTCACTGAGACTCCGTCTTAAAATTTAAAAAAGGGCTGGGTGTGTAGCTCAGTGCTAAGGCCCTAGGTTCAATCCTCAGCACCAAGAAAACAAGAATTCTCCAGACTATGCCAGGGTTCCAGAAGTGCTAGCAGCACCGGCCCACTGCTCAGCACCACCTGTGAGCACAGAAACCCCAGAAACTCACCAGGGCTTCCGCATCCTCTTTAGGAGCAGCACGCTTTAACTTCACAGGAGTAGTTCCAACAGGGGACAAGGGTGGTGACTTCACAGTGCCCGGTGGACTTTTCCTATGCATTAAGTCATGGTTCTGTTTAGTGTCATTATTATTGTGTTTTGTTTTATCATTTGTAAGCAAAGTGCCTGACAAAATTAGGGGCGAGACACTTGATGAATTTGGTAATTTTTGAAAGGAGTTACTGGCAGTGCTTGCTTGAGGGGGAGGCTTGAGACGATCGTTGTCTCCATTCTCTGTCCTCTTTACTTTTATGCTTGTACTGGTTGAGCTTCCATCAAATACAATGAGGGGTCTTTTCCTTAGCCCATCCACAGTGCTCCCCCTAAAAGCAAAGAGAAGGAACTGTTTTTTTTTTTTTTTTTTTTTTTTGCGGGGGTTGCAACTCCACTTT